TACAACACAGTGGATCAGCTATATCCCCTCCATCTTGGACCTCCCACCCCACCCCCCATCACATTCCTCTTGATCATCGCAGAACACCGAGCTGAGCTCCTTTTACTGCACAGCACCTTACCACTAGCTATCTGTTTTACACATGGTAGTATATATATGTCACTGCTACTCTTTTAAGTTGTCCCATCCTCCCTTTCCCCTGCTGTTCTACAAGTTCATTCTTTATGTCTGAGTCTCTGTTCCTGCCCTGTAGATAGATTTTCAGTACCATTATTCCAGACTCCATACATATGCATTAATATATGATACTTATTTTTCTCTTTCTGACTTCACTTGGTATGACAAATTCTAGGTTCATCCACATCACTACAAATGACTCGATTCCATTCCTTTTTATGGGTGAGCAATATTCCCTTGTATATAGGTACCACATCTTCTTTATCCGTTCCTCTGTTGGTGGACGTTTAGGTTGCTTCCATGTCCTGGCTATTGTAAACAGTGCTGCAGTGGACATTGGGGAACATGTGCCTTTTTGAATTATGATTTTCTCAGGGTATATGTCTAGGAGAGGTATTGCTGAATCATATGGTAGCTCTATTTTTAGTTTTCTAAGAAACCTCCACGCTGTTCTCCATAGCAGCTGTACCAATTTACTTTTTCACCAGCGGTGCAAGAGGGTTCCCTTTTCTCCACACCCTAAGACTTGTATTGTGCCACTCGGTTTCTCTTTACCATATGCCCACTTCTAGAGCACAGTTCTTCACTGTGTTCATAGAAGCTCTTCCCTGCAGAAAGGAGAGCAAAACTGTACAAGATGCTGCTCTTTGTATTGAGAATCGTGAAAAGGTCATCAGCAGGATTTTACTCTGGGAGGTGACTTGAAAGGTGTCCTCATTGGAACCAATGAAATAACAAAAGTATAAATGAAGAAAAGCTGCAGCATTAATAATAACAGTCTGGGTAAACAATGAGGAATACCATCAATGGACCAGCATTTTTGAGGGATCTCTGAGAAGTAGAGAAGTAGCTGAAGCTCCAATAGTTTAGTCACCTGATGGGAAGAGCTGACTCATTGGAAAAGACCCTGAGGCTGGGAAAGATTGAGGGCAGGAGGGGGTGACAGAGGATGAGATGGTTGCGTAACATCACCGACTCAATGGATATGAATTTGAGCAAACTCTGGGAGATAGTGAAGGACAGAGGAGCATGGTGTGCTGCAGTCCTGGGGGTTGCAAAGAGTTGGACACGACTTAACAACTGAACAACAACAACAACTGAGACGTAGTTAGTAGATAGGGATAGTTCTATAGAGAGAAAAGCCTTGCTGAAACCATTTGTAGAAAATGTGCAGAAGATACCTGCAAAGTTAGGGGTGGACAGCTTAAGGCAGCTTCGAGGACTGGAAGGAGCTGAGGACGTGGGGGGAATTCATGCGCTCGTCCTCACTGAGATGTGACGCCGAGGGGACAGCCATGCTGCTTTCTCACTGTGGCAGTGCTGTGGGCACTGGGGCCAGAGAAACTGGGCTGGACCTGAGATGGCCACTGCGTATCCTGACCCAGAAGAGACACCACCTCACACACCTTCTGGCAGTGTGTCCTGTCTGCCAAAGCTGCTGAGGGCAGGCCTGGTAAGCGCTCCCATGGGGATACAGAAGTTCTCCAGTGGAGATAGATGTAGACTATACAGATCACACAGCCAGTGTTTGGAGACTTACTTAGCATCTTCAACAGGCAGAAAAACTAGTCTCTGAAGGAAAAGAAAACATTAGATCCACATGTTTTTCAGAAAGATACAGGAGAGAATTCTGTTAATAAAAACATACTGGACACTAGAAATGTAAAAGTTACTCATTGAAGTGAAACAATGGACAAATTGACAGAACTGAAAAGCAAATTAGAAATCTGGAGGAGTAAGCTGAAGAGTCACAAAAGAAAGGGATGAAGAGAGAGAAGTTAGGAGCTCCTAAAACTATTGCTTTGTGGTTTGATAGCACTTCCCTAGTGACTCAGATGGTAAAGCATCTGCCTACGATGCGGGAGACCCAGCTTCAGTCTCTGGGATGGGAAGATCCCCTGGCGAAGGAAATGGCAACCCACTCCAGTACTCTTGCCTGGAGAATCCCATAGACGGAGAAACCTGGTAGGCTGTAGTCCGTGGGGTCACCAAGAGTCGGACACGACTGAGCAACTTCACTTTCATAGTCGCTTAATTGGAGCCTCTTTTTTCTTCTTTTTTGGAGCAAATATTTGAAAGCTAAACTGAATGCCCATCACAGGGGAATGTTTAAATATGGTACACCTTTACTATGAAGTGGGGCATCCCTTATAGCTCAGTGGTAAAGAATCTGCCTGCAATGCAGGAGACTCGGGTTTGGTCCCTGGATCGGGAAGATCCCCAGGATAAAGAAATGGCAACCCACTCCAGTATTCTTGCCTGGAGAATTCCCCATGGACAGAGGAGCCTGGTGGGCTACAGTCCATGGGGTTGCAAGGAGTTGGACACAACTTAGCGGTTAAACAGCAATGACAATGCTGTGGTTAACCATTAAAAAAGAATGAAATAGATCAGTATAGGTTATTATGGGAAGAGTGTCAAGATAGGTAATTAGGTGAAAAATACAAGATACAGGGCAATATAAGCAATTTGGTTCCTTAAGATTTTCAAAAGGAGATTAAAACAAACATAGATAAATGTGATCATTTGAGAGGTTTTCCAGAAAACTGTTGGTAATGATTGTCCTTAAGAAAAAGGGTGGAGATTTGGCGTGAGGGTGATAAGGGAGGCCTTTTTTCTCCTCCTTTTTTTGATCTGTGCCTCTCCATGCTGGATCCTGGATCTTAGTTCCTCAACCAGGGATTGAACTTGCACCCCTGCAGTAGAATCTTGGAGTCCTCTAACTGCGTTACCTCCAGGGAAGCACCAGGCTTTTATTTGTCATTTTTGTGTCTTTCTGTACTGTTCAAATATTCTGTGTGGATGGAGTACTTTTATTTTAAAAACTGTTCAGTCGCTCATTCATGTCTGACTCCTTGTGACCCCAAGAACTGCAGCACGCCAGGCCTCCCTGTCCATCACCAACTCCCGGAGTCCACCCAAACCCATGTTTATTGAGTCGATGATAACCATCCAACCATCTCATCCTCTGTCGTCCCCTTCTCCTGCCCTCAATCTTTCCCAGCATCAGGGTCTTTTCAAATGAGTCAGCTCTTCTCATCAGGTGGCCAAAGTATTGGAGTTTCAGCTTCAACATCAGTCCTTCCAATGAACACGCAGGACTGATCTCCTTTAGATTGGACTGGTTGGATCTCCTTGCAGTCCAAGGGACTCTCAAGAGTCTTCTCCAACACCACAGTTCGAAAGCATCAATTCTTCTGCACTCAGCTTTCTTTATAGTCCAACTCTCACATCCATACATGACGACTGGAAAAACCATAGCCTTGACTAGACGGACCTTTGTTGACAAAGTAATGTCTCTGCTTTTTAATATGCTGTCTAGGTTGGCCATAACTTTCCTTCCAAGGAGTAAGAATCTCTTAATTTCATGGCTGCAATCACCATCTGCAGTGATTTTGGAGCCCAGAAAAATAAAGTCAGCCACTGTTTCCCCACCTATTTGCCATGAAGTGATGGGACTGGATGTCATGATCTTAGTTTTCTGAATGTTGAGTTTTAAGCCAACTTTTTCACTCTCCTCTTTCACTTTCATCAAGAAGCTCTTTAGTTCTTCTTCACTTTCTGTCATAAGGATGCTGTCATCTGCATATCTGAGGTTATTGATATTTCTCCTGGCAATCTTGATTCCAGCTTGTGCTTCCTCAAGACCACTGTAGGTGTACTTAAACAAGTCTCTTTTATGGTATCTACTCCTATCTTATTTTTATTAAGTTCAGTTTATTTTGCTAGTAGTCATCCTTGTGTCCTTTTCAAGCAGTAGCAGACATAGCTTATCCTTTTCAGAAAACATTTTATTTTTTTAAAGTTTTTTTAATGTGGACCATTTTTAGTCTTTATTGAATTTGTTACAATATTGCTTATATTTTGTGTTTTGGTTTTTGGATCGAGAGGCATATCGGATCTTAGTTCCCCAACCAGGGATTGAACTCATGGCCTCTCCAGTGGAAGCATGGAGCCATAAGGGCTGGGCCGCCAGAGAAGTCCCAGAAAACAACATTTTAAATATCAGAAGTTAAATATGGTGTGAAGGTTGATAAATTCATGAACATGAAATGTATTACAAATAGAAGCTCTGAGCATAAAATAAGAATGCTGTTTTTCCCAGACCACACTTACAAATTAGTCTCATTACTTTATCTTTATTATCACTAAGACCATAATCCACTGAGCAGTTTCCTCCCAAATTCCCAAGGCATCTTTTTTAGGACTGTCATCAGCAGTGGCACAGACATAGGAGAACACATGGCAGTCTGGAGTGTGTGTTTGTATGTGTGAACACGTATCCCAGTGTGTGTTCTGTAGATGGTTTAGTTTATGTGCCGTTTCTTCTTATCTGTATTTTCTTGGTTCCATGGTAATACTGAATTAAGTGTCAGCTGTCATGGTTAGATTTTTAAAGGCTATTTTCATGCTTAACAAAAGCCTCCTGAACAGTGTCTGTGTTGGTGCACATGATGGCTGGTGCACTGGTGTGCCAGGCGCCCAGCTGAGCACTTAATGAATAGCTACCCCAGGGAACAGCGCTTGTCAGTCACCTAGGAAACTTCATCCAGTCTTGATTGCTTCTCTGATGGTCACAGAGCTGACTCTCAGTGGATCCTATGTTGGAATATTTGAACTGTCACTAGAGATTTCTAAACTCACAAGCTGCTGAGAAATATCTAGAAAGGCACCTGATAGAAGGCAGCTCCACTGTGGTTCTTAGCTCTCTAGCTCTAAAAGGATGGCTTTTCCACAGCTGTTCTCGAGTAAATGTCTACCTCGTACTGAGAAATGTGCTCATCTGCGAGCCTGTCATCTTAAGTGCTTTCCTCTTCTTGCAGGGTAACGCCGTCCTCTGAAAACCCCAGTGGTGCTACTTCTAGTATCAGCCAAGGAAAGCCTTCTTTAAGACGAATTAAAGGGAGACTGCACAGAAGCAAGAGCCTCGATAGCATCGATTTCTGTGAACTCACTGTGAGTGGATGGTTTAAGACTTTTCTTCCTTTTCAAAGCATATGAAAAAATTGATTTTTAAAAATTATCATTAGAAGGAAATGGGATTATTTTGTATTAAGCATTTTTCAGTAAAAACTGGTTTACACAACAGGTTACCAACTGGCATAACTTTCTTAACCAGTACCCATAGATATGTTTGTGATAAGTGGTTCATAATGATGATTCTGGTTCACAGACCAAGATAAAGATGTGTTTCCTGAACTCTACAATAAAAGTTGAGTTAAGGTCAGTGTATGAAGTAAATTTCTTGGAAAAATCACAAATCCACATGTTAATGTAGGTACCGATCTAAGTATTTGATGAACCCCAAACACCCAACTTCCTGGTAGTTCTGGAAAATAGAGGTGCCCTCATATATTAGGACAGATCCTGGTTCAGTTAGCGATGGTGTTTTCTTTTTGTACTTGGTGGTTAACATTAGTGGTCTTTTTTCACCAGGCCAGGTAACAGTTTTTCACAAGGGCATATGGTAAATTCGTGATGTTTTTAGAGATCACCGGTGTTCAGGCCCCATTTTCCTTTCCTGTTAATTGTGTTGTCCTGGTCTAGAAGAGCTGCTTAATGCCATAAAGGAAACACTAGGGTTTTCTCTGTGAGAAAACCAGCTGTGAGATTTTTTTCATATGTATGTGCTGTAGGATTCATTGGCAAATTAATGGATGTTTGGGATGCTTAGACAAGATATGTTAATTTCTCCCCTCTTTGAGCTCTGACAAATTCAGAATTATGAAAATACCACTGACCATTATTGTTTCAAAAGGCAGTTAGAAAGCATAGAAGTAAAGCCTGTCTTTTTTGAGGACACAACTGCAGCATCTTTTACCTATAATTGATGAAAACAAAATTTTATTTAGTTTTATTATTTATATTATTATTTATTTAGTAATAGTGGATATTTTGGGGTTTTTTCCTTCATTTTCCAACATGTTCATTAAAATAATTTTACCCAACTATTTTACTTAAAAGTACACTTGACCATGTCAGACTTAAGAAGGTGAAATGTGACCTATCAGAAGATGTTCAAACAATAACTGAAAAAGGTAAAAAGATGGTAAGTTCTTACTGAATAGACCTATGAGAGTGACAGAAGAAAATAGAAGTCTGCCTAAAATAAAGCAAACTGAGAAATAAATTTTAATTATTTGTTAATTCAAATTTGAGAATAATATACAAATGAGAGTTGAAATTCCATCACATTATTTTGTATGATGTTAAATGTTATCATTATTATCATTACTGAAGCATAATCAGCTAATTGATTAATTTGGCATGTCATAAAGTATGTTTACTTGCTTAAACAATTTTTTGTGGTTGGGGAAGATGTTAAAATTTTTCTGGAATGTGACAGGAGAAAAGCTTAACTTCTTATAAGGTTACCTTCAGTTTCTCAGATAATAGATTATTTCATCTATGAGGAAAAGTTGGTGAATAGAGTTATCTTTTTATTGTCATGATCATGTTTACAAATTATTGATGGTAGGTTTCCTGTCTCATTTTATGTATGAAAGAGCTGATTTGGCTGAAGTTAGTTTACAGTCCAAGCATGGGAAAATAGCACTGGCCAGGTGCAAACTTAGTTTATTTCTTTGTGATGATCTTTCCTATTTGACTTTATCTCAGAAGTGAAACATTTTAGTGTGTCTCTGGGGAAAGATCATGACATTGAGGTTCAAGGAGAGTTACAGCTGAGTTCAGGAAAGTGGATTCTGGGGAGGAGCCGTGGTGCTGATACGGGATGTACTCGGCTGCACACACTGTGCTGTCTCTGATTTTGGTGTTCTACTTTCTGCAGAGTGCATTGGAAGGCCACGTTCTGACAGTTCATCTACTTGTCAGTGATGGGAATGTATTAATGAAGTGTAATTACCACAATCAGTTTGCATTTTTTGCAATTCGATTTTATTTTCTGTCTCAGGTTTTTGCAGTTACTGTTGGAGGGGCAGCAATTTCATATTTTGTTGTTTAATGTTTTTATATTGTCAGAAATTTTTATAATGAACATGTAACATTTTTAGCAAAGCAATGAACTGATGATTTTCTGAACAATAAAATAATAGAAAGAACAGTCTCCCAGCTTGGCTATTCCCACTTTTCTACCACAAGCTGCAGTCAGATGATACTGTAGTATCCAGAAGACATAAGGACATGGAGTATCTTTGGTCTGGGGCTGAAAAAGGACTTTCCCCCCCCCACTTTCAAATTTCATCTTTTTTTTTTTTTTAAGGAGTGTTACACTTTTAAAAAAGATAGTTTAGAAAAGGATTTCATGGGAAGCAAAAGGCATTTAGATTTGATTCTTTAATGCAATTGGCTCTACCATATAATTATGGAGAACCAGATTTTAAAACCTTTGCCACAAAGTCTAACGGGCAGATGCTCCTTGGGAAAGGGTCCATAATGACTTCCAATGGGACAGGAGCAAACACCCTCACTTTCGTCAGCATATAGCTCAGCCATTGCAGGGCTCTCTTTAGAGATGTTCTTCTAGTTCAAGCAGACTGGAAAATTTGTCATACTGTATGCTAATTTTTAAATTGTCAAAATTCTTCTTAACTCTGTGGCTTCCTTTGTCTGCCACAGTACACAGAGAGCCTTAAAATTGAAAGACTAAAACTTAGTTCATGATCATGAACTAAAGCTTCATTCATGTGGATATATGTCACATTTGTGTGACCAGCAGAGTAACATGTATTTTTATACTTTGCTTTTAACTTTGCCTGAGAAAAAATGCAGTCTTTATTGATTTTGGAAGAACTTGGCAAGTGGAGCAGCAAGTCCACTTGCCATGGTGTCAAGGTCCTGATTTCTGGCTGAGAGGCCTCAAGTTCCAGCTGAGACCATTGGCTTTGGTCCTGGCGTCAGAGCGATGCCATTTCACCCCTGGGGAGAGGTGATTGTTTTAGCTTTCTCTGTGGGGATTTAATGAGATGGTCTTTCCAGGTCATTTGGTAAACCCTGCAGCATCATTGACTGACATCCCATTTTCTTGAGGGGGCTGGAATCCATCCAATCTGCCAAGGTCCTCAGACAGCTCCCAGGGATGTTGGTATGGTTTTCTCAAGCGAGGCCTGGAATGGACGAGTCTGTTATGAAGATGTGTTACACCTAGAAAACCTGAGCCATTCTTCAACACTTTCATGTATAAAATGCTATATAAATGACATGACAAGTTCCTTTTCTCCCTTGGGGTGATGGAGTGATGTATTGATAATCCATATGAAGAAGAAAAGTCTGGCGATCTAGCTAATGGTGTTTCTATTCTTAGCTCTTCCATGTCACTCTAGTGTCCTTGCCATCAACTTTAGAGCCATCAGGTTGCATTTTCACTTCTGTACCTTCCTTTCTCTCAGATCCTGAAGTGTATTGTCAAAGAATCTTAAGTGATACTTTAAAAATTCAACAGATTGCTTGGAATTTGATGGCTTTTCTTAATTATTCCTCCCCCCTAAAATAGGAGCCAGCTGGGTGGGATTCCTTCCATTTGGGAAGCTGTTCTGAAGGTGAACTTAAGGAATTTATTTCCTTCTTTGTGGGTGTAAACCTTGATTGCTAGTTTCTCTTTCCTCCAACAGAGAAATACTACAAAAACTCTGCACAATAAATGGAAACAATGAACTAATTAATAACTTATGTCTCTGTTCACTTAGCCTTGAGTGAAAGAAGGATTCAGTTATCACTGAGAACCCTTAGGCAAAATGATACATGTTTCAAACCCTTCCAGAAGTATTTGTCCTGAAGCAGGAAAATATGTGAAGATATTATTTGGAGTGTTACATTTTGGGGCCAATAAGTCACATTTCACTGCTGCATGAATAATAGTTCTCTGGTTTTGTAATGATCAGCAGTTTTCACATTTGAAAAGAAACATTTTCTCCTGGTAAAGGGGCATCTGTATAGGCTGTTGGAGGATCTATGTACCCCTGTGGGAAATTCAGTGATGAAATTTTCTCCTTCTTCCCCATGACCTCCTCCTGTGAGATGTGCAGGATGCTGAGGCCTGATTTAAAACTAAGTGTCCCTTTGACCTTGACCGTGTGTCAGGTTTGCTTTACTGGTTCCTGACAGACTAGTGACAAGCTGGCAGTTAAGGTGCAGAGTCTGTGGAGGGAGAAGAGGCGGGGGACACTGAACACCAGCTAACCCTGCTTCCTGGTTTGGTGGGAGGAGCCCACTGCTCCCTGTTCCCTGCTGACCCCCACAGCTGCCTCATCCGAGGAGAGTTTAGAAGAAACAGCAGTGAGCCTCATGGGTCCTCTCCGCTCCTCTCACCCTGAACTCTAATGACGTGGCATCTTTCTCTTCTCTTTGGGTATCTCTGTGCAGTTGGGAGTGCTGGCCCCAGGCCATCTGCACGTCTCCTGACTGCATTCTCACCTCTCAGTGCATAGTCTGCTCCCCACTGATGAGGTGCTTCAGCTTCTCAAAGGCAGCGAGTGTGTCTTTTGTATTTCCCAGATGCTGAGCATGACAGGTCTCTGCTCATTCAGTGTTTGTTGGTTGATCGTATTGGTTAACTCTTTGCTTCAATAGCTATGGTAGCTGAGTAGAGGAAAGCTGGGAGACCACTAAATGTTAAAGTGGTAAGGCTGAGGAGCAAAACGATATGGAAAATAATGTCCCTCATTTGACATACAGGAAAAGGAAGCAACTTCATATATTGGCTCCTGTTGAGGTCCTTTAATGGACCAGAACCTGGTGGTCTGGAGTCGACAATAAGAAAGTGGAAGAGAGAGAAAGTGGCTGATATTCCCTGGTTTACACAGAAAACCAATAAAGCCCTTGACACAGGGCTTGCACTGCTTCCCATAAGCACAGGGTGCCCTCTCGAGGGGGTCTTGAAAGCCTGGGCAAGGAAGTGAGCTCAGCGGGCTTCTGTGCTCCAAAGAATTAGCCTGAGAGAGAGTGAGAGAGAGAGAAAGAAAGAAAGACATGGGGACCCAAGTTCTGATGGAACAAGGGTGTGTTATTCAACATAGTGTGGGTATATATACTGTCTTACAAGGTAGCTTTTTTCAGCAAAGGTGAAGATCAAAAAGCCAGACTTACAAATTATCAAGGAAACAGAAGGCAATCCATATCAAAGAGAGAGGGTTGTAAATAATCACTTTTACTGTATGGTCCATAAAAGAGAAGAGGGTCGTAAATAGTTACTTTTCACTGTAAAAACTAACGAAGGAAATTCGTGCATTCCTCAGTCCTGGAAGCCATTTGCCACTCCTCTTAATTCCTGAATATTCAGGAATTAATAAGGAACAGAGGATTCATGACAGATCAGAAACAGCACACAGGAAGCCTCCTGTTAAATGCTCCCTGACAGGCTCCTGTTACGGCGAATATGCCTGAGCATGAAGCAATAAGGGGAACATTTTTTTTTTGAATAACCAAAGTAGATGTGGTGGTACTGATGGAGGTAGAGGAGGTAAGTGTTGGAGGTGGAGATGATGGTGAGGGTCATGGTGATTAAGATGGTGGAGTAGTATTGGTGATAGTGGAAGTGGAAGTGATAGTGGTGGTGGTGGCAGAGGTGATGATAATGGTGGTGATGGTCATGGTGTGGTGGTGATGATAGTGATAGTGGCAGTGGTGGTGGTGGTAGAGGTGGTGGAGATGGTGGTAGAAGTGCTGATGAATGTGGTGATGGTGTGGAGGTAATTGAGGTGGTAGTGGTGGTGGTGATGGAAGTTATGGTGGTGGTGATGGAGGTGGTGGTGGTAGAGGTGGTGGTGATGGAGGTGGTGGTGGTGATGGAGGTGGTGGAGGTGGTGGTGATGGAGGTGGTGGAGGTGGTCATGGTGGTGGAGATGGTAGTGGTGTGGTGATGG